ATAGTATGTTGAGTGCATCTTCAGAGGGGGCACCCTTTAAATAGTCACTTTAACACTTGCACCTGGGGATCACCTGACTATCTTGGGTTAGGACATCTTAGCTGCAAAACTCCCAAAACTCACATTGCCTAGAACACTGGTTCACTGGTTCCTAGAGAACTCCTCATTTTTTTGTTTGCAGCTGGAGAGCTCATATAAGGTAAGTGTTTTCTCTATCCATTTTAACAGAATGTCAATTAATGGATTGCCATTGTTCCACTACTTGGAAGAATGATTAATTCAAGCCAAAGGCAGCTTTTTTTTTTTTTTTTCTGTGAAAAAAGTGACTGCTAGAATGCAATGTGATTACAGACCTCATTAGGGAAGGTTTTTGTTGGGCTTTATTTCCCCCCTCCCCTTATGGTTAGATTTAAGCATAATAAAACAAATATTCCCAGTAATTTAATTAGCCAAAAAAGCAATGCAGTTAATGTTACCTGTGGCACACTACATAGATACCGAAGAACTTCCCCAATATACTGTATCACTGTTACGTTGTATTTTCTGCAATCATCCCAGAACTGGCTTGCTGAAAATCTGGCACGCAAAACAATAGTTGCACCTGTTTAGAAAGAAGTAAAACAAACAACAGAAGGGACAATTCTTATTATATTGTAAGACCATACAGGATTTCTTAGGACAACGTTGTAGAAAACTTGGAGAATTAGTGTAATATAGCTTTTGGAAGTACTCTTCCTAAAATGTGTCGAAATACAATCCATGCTGAATAAGTGGTTTAATCTCTATTTCTATTCATGAGAAGTTAAAGCCTATTATTGTGGAAGAAACTCTGTACTAATTTAGCCTAAAACTGTGCAAAGAGCTGTCATGCAAAACAGGATATATCCTGTTTGTGCAGGTGATGAAATAAACTTTGTACAGGTTAAAGATCTGTGCGAGTCATATGACAACGACAGAGAGATGAGAATGTCTCTTTACTTACGGAGTTTCTGGTAACAGAGGCATGTATAACCAAGTATTTCATCTCAAAGTTTGGTAGCTAGGGAAAGGCTTAGTGTATCTGTGATCACATCCGTGCATGAATTCTGCACAGTAACACGTTAATTCATACTAGTCAAGTGCCCGGTACCTTTCATGATACATCCATGGACTCCAACGAGGAGAGCAGAGCTATGATAGAGTGGAAGAGCAGTATACACAATATCTTCTGAGGTAACATTGCCAGCATCAAACAAACCACAAGCTAGCATTATGCGTTCATGGTTAATCACCGCAGCTTTGGGAAGACCTGTTTAAAGTCAAGCAAAAAGGTGTGTAACTTCACTTGAACAATAAACATAGCAAGACCAGTCAGTTTCACAAAGGCTTAAGATTTGCTCTCATTCACTGATGCAAGTGATAGTTCCGGAGTTCAGGGAGGTATGCAGCTTGTGCCCAAGCAGTGCACTGGCGTTTAGCCTTAGTGAGGATATGTTCTCCCACATATAACTTTTAGGTGATGATTACCCCAAATTCCCAATACTATGGTACCTAGGAATAACAAGTACCTAGAGAATGAGGAAGTGGGATTTGGAGAATCTAGCATGCTCAGCAAAGGGAATGGAAATGCTAAAACAGAAGTTAGTCTCAGCTCTTGTATCTCTCCTGCAACTAGGTATCTCCTTGCAGTTCTGGATCATCCTAGATGAAACTGGAATTCATACTACAAAATCTCTTCTTGCTTTCCCATCAGATGCGATTGAACTGATTACTTGCTGAAACAGATGCAAGAAGACAAAATGATGGTAGTGCTTGCCTATTCTGTAAGAACAGAGAGGTTGGAGCCCTTAACAAGGATGAAGGACACATGACTTGTTTGCCTTCTGCAGCCCAAATAGGATTCCAACTTGAACTTCCTCCCTTCCAGGGCAGTTCCGGCTGTAAGAGGCTCAAAGACTGAGCTAGTGTGGAGGCATACCCTGCTCCTCCTAACGAAGCTATAGGTTTGAGTGTCTTCAGGCGTTGTCTTCATCTTCATCCCTGTCACCCAGTTCTGCTGTGGCTAAGTGCTCTTGATGCTAGATGCCTTTATGTAGAGCAGGTTGCAACTCCTGTACCAGAGGCAGTTCTGCACACTGGCCATGACTAGCTGTATTTTGTGCTGCACTCACTGATTTCAGTACTCTGACACCCAAAAACTTAATGGCCAGCATTTAGAGCTCATGAGCTAAAGATACTGAGTATAAGGTGGGTGCCAAGACACCTAGGCCAGCAGTTACCCAGGGATAAGAAACAGCAAATGTCTAGTGACCTTACTGGCATAAAACTTTTTTGTTTCATTGGCTTTTACTTCAGTCCCTCCCCTCAGATTTTGTGCTTAAAGTCAGCCTATATTCTATGTGCTTTTTGGTTTTAGATACAGATATTAAATTCTCGGTTTTCTGAGGGAGAATGAATGAGAGTAGGAATTAAAGTGAAGTAACAGATTCTCTTCCCTTACTGAAAAGTCACAATGTCGGGAGAAATGTGTGGCCGTTTTTGTGAATTTACATTACCTGTAGTACCAGAAGTATAAATGTACATGGCAGGAGTTTTAAAGGTTATATCTGATCTCCAAGACAATGGAGTAGGCTCATCTGAAGCAGCATCTATTTTATCAAGAAAGCTCTCAACTCCTTCTGTAGCAGATGTCTTGCTTAAATAATAAACTTTAACATTTTCTTTCTTCAAGAATGGCAGTATTTCTTCAACAGATTCCTTCAGCTCTTAAAGAGGAGAGAAAAAAGTATTATAAGAAAATTCTGTATTATTCTGTGAACTATACTATTGGTACATCAACTTTGGTTCAGCAGCTTTCATGTTTAGCTGCTGTTGGAGAAATTAATGTTCAAGTCACTCCAGAATCCAGCAAAAAGGACTGAAGAGGAACAGTGTCTCCCCACAGAACTGTGAGTGATTTGATTTGATCTGATTTTCTGCAGCAGGAAGAGAATTGCAGAGGAGCAATCCAAGCACACCTCCCCTCGCCTGCAGGCCCTGCAGCATGCCGAGGGAGCATACATCTGGCATCACCAGCTCCATGTTGCTACCTTCCCTCTCCAGCGAGGGGAAATGCCTCACCTGGCGAGTGCCCACACAAGTTTGGTGCTGCTTACATCACCACTATGCATAACCACATATGTTTTATGCATAAAGATGAACCTCATCTTTCTCAAGTTCCAACACAAACAGAAGAAACGCTGAAAAGCAGAATGAAGAGTGACTTTGTAAGTAGGCTACTACTGAAGCCTGGACTCCTAGACAGTTGTGTTCTGTCACTCCCTATGCCTGTCTCCTACACGTATCTTGACTAATCCCAGTTCTCCACATATTCCCTCTGGTATCTCCAACCAACAAGAGCACATGATTTCATTTATGTGCCATCAGCAGGCTAACTCCCTGCAGGCTCAAGTCTGCCTTTCTCTTACTGTAGCTCTCTCTCCTCTATGCACTGCCAGTTTCAACCAAGTTGGGAAGAATGTGGTCGTCGCTAAGACTTTTTTTCCCTTAAGAAGGTGGATAATGGAATGAAGTGAAGATAACCAGACAGCTGGTGCAATTGTATATACCTTGTTTCTTGAGGAATTCAGACTAAAAGCTTTCCAACTCACAGGCACTTTTACTTGAATAGATAACCCACAAGATACAAAATGAATCCTCAACACCAGTTTCACTGGAACATCATAATATAAAATTTCCATAACATGCAATTTAATTTTTACCACCTCTATTTTATTTCAAAGCAAAAAATAAATTAAATATTATTAAATCAACAAATCTCTGAGGTAATTTAATACTGAAAACTGAATCTGTTACAGGAAATTTTATCTCCACACTAATTGACTAGATAAAGCCAAGATCCACATCAAAAGTTTGTCTCAATTGCACAAAAGCAACAACTTTAATAAAAGCAACCCCTTTTCAAGTCTGCCAGTATCTGGAATTCCCCATGAAACAATTCTGTACTTCTACTGTAACTTTGGTCCAAAAAACATCCTGGGATTACAGTGGGTGCCCTTTAGCCACCAAGCTACGAACGAAAATCTAATGAAGGCTTCTTTTAGTGAACAGGTAAGGAGACCTCAAAATATTAGCACAGCCTGGCCTGTCTTCCTTCATTCCACCTATGCTCTCCAGCACTGCACAGATGCTGGACTGCACAATGAGTAAAGCCGAGTGGGAGGAGAGTTCTGCTCCTTAGACACTATCAGACATGAAGGAGATAAAATAAGGCCTGTTATGCAAGTATCTAATGAGCTGGCACCTCAGAGATAAACAACCCCCAATAAACTTTCACTGAGATGAATAACCCTCCAATAAACTTTGAAATCCGTATTTTATGGTAGGTAGAAGTAACTTTAATGATGTATAAACTGTATTAATGATTCAGCATATTTCTTTTCAGAAACTTACCTGTGCCAAGTACACAGACAGGATCTCCTGTGATGGTAAGTTTTGATGAACAATATTTATCTTCTGCATGGAGTAGCAAGCAGGATGAAACTTAATAAAGACAGAGAGAATCAAGGTCCAACAGAAAAGACCTAGACTTCTTTCCTTTTCCTGATGTCCAGCAATCACTGGTGAGTCAAGCATGTAGTAAATTTTTATGAATAAGGCTCAATTTTTTCGTTTACTTTTCCTCAGAGCTGAAGGCCTTTTTAGAAAATTTGAGGCAAGTATGCTACAGAAAGAGGAAAAACACATTTCCTATCCTACACGAGAGCTTTTCCCACACATGCTATAACTCAAACACTGATTAATTTTGCAGACATTGCAGAAAATTTATTCTCAGTGAGGCAGAAATTTATCACAAAAGGAGAAAATTTCATTTGAACTCCTGAAGTTTTGGGGCATGTAAAATAGTTTGGTTAAAACAGATGAATGAGTTCAACTATCTAAGCTGAAAGAGAGTATATATTCCTGTAGAAGCTGTTAACTCAAGGCAGACAGAGTATCTTTGACTTCCTATAGGAAGGGTCACTTATTCATACTGTGTGTATGCTTATATATACAAATATATATAAAGGACTGGGCATGAAATAAGGTCTCTGCTCTATATGGAACAGAACGCAGCTCTCCATTTAAAACATACTAATATGTCAAAGTTTCTTCTATGGAAAAGGAATATGGTTTGTCTACATGCACTGAAACCCGACAAAAGCTTTAATAGACTGCAACCACCTTCATGCGTCAAAGTAGCTGTCCAGCTGCAGCAGGAGGGTTCCTCCGGATTACCTTGTTTGCCATTCTAACGCGGACATTCGTGTGAACGCAGCTGTGAATCAATGGTGTTGGTCATGACCGAGGGCTGTTTTATTTCTAGGTCTTCGCTACCCTTATCCAATAGCGAACAAGGTATCAGAGCTCAGTGCCCGCATCTCGCACATCAGCTGAAAGTGAACACACGGTGCAAATTCCTTGGAAACCTTGTCCTCTGGTCTGAATCCCCAAACGGGCCTTCAGAGGAGTGTCCCTCCGCTCCGGCGCCCCCGGGAGAGGCCCAAGGGGGCAAAAGGCGGC